CCAAAAAACATGGCAGCAGCCCTGCTGACTTGAGTATTAAAACACTGGCTCTTTTGAAAGGAGAAAAGAACAATTTCAGGTCCACTAGATCTATTGAAAATGGTTAGATATAGTGAAATTTTAGACAGCCAAGGAAATTTGAAAACAAATCCAGAATTAAAGGAGCAAAATATAAATATAGATTGGTGGCCATATCTCCAACTACAATCGAGATACAAAAAAGACGTAAAAGAATATGGAACATACACAGAATTACAACAAATCGATACCAATTTAATTGGCCCGGAAAATAAATTCATAACGAAAATTTACAAATATTTATTAGAAGTAACATTAGAAGAAGAAAAAGTTTGTTACTTTCTGAAGTTGACCCAAGTCCTCTTCTAAGTCAACCACCAGTAATGGCTGAAAGTTCTAGGCCAGGAGTGTCTAACCTTAGCAACTTTAAGACTTGTGGATTTGTGGGCTTCAGCTTCCAGAATTCCCCAGCCAACACTTGTTCTAAGCGATGCAGTTTTAAGGCTGGAATGTTCTCCATCACTTCTTCTTGTGCTGCTCTCCTTAGCTTCAGGGATCATCTCTTGAGTCTTGTTGGCATCAAACGTAGCAATTGACTTCCCTAACGTCTCCGACCCATTATTTTCAGCGTCTCTGTCTCAACGGAAGTTCTGGGCAGGAAGTCATCATCGGCACCGGCCTGGAGACGGTCGAAGCCTTGGTCTTTGAGCCCATCAGTCAACTGCTTTACTGGGTGAACGCCGGCATCCCCAAAATCGAGGTACGCCTCCTTTTGCTTGTAGGAAAGAAGCCAACATCCCAAGGAGAAGCCCATCACTCAAGCAGAAGTCTACCCCAGATAGGGAGCATGGATTTTTTTTTTGACTTATGCTGCGTATATTTCCTTATATACACTGTGCGGTGATGCGGTAGTTAAGAGTCCAGTACTGCAGGCTACTTCTGCTGATCACCTTCTGCCAGCAGTTTGGCAGTTCGATTCTCACCAAGCTCCAGGTTGACTCATCCTTCCGAAGAGGGTATAATGAGGACCCAGATTGTTGGGGAAAAGATGCTAACTCTGCAAACTGCTTAGAGAGGACTGTAAAAGCACTGTGAAGCGGTATATTAGTCTAAGTGCTATTCCTAACAATAATAGTCTGGTGAACTCATCGTTCTCCAATTTGTGGTTCTCCACGCAGGTCGCAAACCCAGACGGGGACTTGCGTCTTACCATTTTAAACTCCTCGGTGCTTGAGCGACCCCGGGCCCTAACTTTGGTGCCCAAAGAAGGGTAAGTAGGAAGCCTCCTATCCCTTGATCTTGTTGGTGTTCTCTTTGGAGTCAGGGGACTTGCAACCTGGACCCCAAAGCAACCCTCCAGAAAGCTGAAATCTCACACCTTGAGATGTCTCTGGGTTGAAACATTCCCTAAATTTAATCAGGAGAATGACTTTCAATCCTAGTTCTGGCTTGATTTCGGCGTCACGTTTTTCTCTCTACCTCTTGTTGGTTATGACTTCTATCCGCAGACTGATGTTCTGGACAGACTGGGGGGACTCCCGGCCGGGTATTTATCGAAGCGAAATGGACGGCTCCTCTGCTACTTGCATTGTCTCCGAGGGAGTAAAGTGGCCCAATGGAATTTCAGCAGATGATCATTGGATCTACTGGACGGAGGCCTACATGGACAGGATCGAGCGGGTCGACTTCAACGGCATGCAGAGATCAGTGATCTTGGATAGTCTTCCTCATCCTTATGCCATTGCCGTGTTTAAGGTACTTCTGGAACATCTACGATAGCGTAGGCGTTGTCCATCCAGACTGCTCTAGGGTAAAGCAGGCATCATCCATCTAGACTCCTCTACGATAGAGCAGATATTGTCAATCTACAACCCTCTAGGATGGAGTGGGCATCATCTATGACGTAAATAGCCATAACCTCCAGGCAGCTGGTTATTAGTTATGAGTTATGAAATGAGTTATGAAAGTTTATTTATATGCCGCCCTTTTCCCTGGGGGGACTCAGGGCGGCTTACAACTCAAGGGG